GAGACAGATTTGCAGCCATGGGAAACAAACTTATGGTTACCAAAGGGGAAAGGGAAGGGGGAGGGATAAATTAGGAGTTTGGGATGAACATACATGCACTACTCTACATAAAACAGATAACCAACAAGGACCTACTGTATAGCACAGGGAACTCTACTCAATATTCTGTGATAACCTATATGAGAAAAGAAACTAAAAAAGAATGAATATCTGTATACGTATAACAATCACTTTACTGTACACCGGAAACTAACACAACATTGTAAATCAACTATACTCCAATTAAAAAAAAAAAAGATTTGAACTCAATTCTGAATGACCCCTTTAACTATAATACATTACTTCTTCTATCAAGTGTCCATTTGTCACGGGGCACGTCCCTCACCTTCTCTGAACTCCTATTTCTGCATTTAAGATACAGAGTTGAGCTCACACACCCCACGGGATTGGATGAGATATACTTGAAATTATGTATGGAAGAGGGATTTGTTAGCTAATAAAGTGTAAATACAGATTCGTTTTTTCATCTGCTATACTGTTTTCCTGGGTGCTTGCAGATACGGAGATATATTGGTCAACCGTAAAGATAAAATTGCCAAAAGTAATAATAGAAAAGACAGGTTTTGGGGAGGACTTCTAACTGTTCCTTAAAAGGAAAGGGGGCTGTGATCATCATTAACGGTTGAGAGGAAATGACGCAGTGTAGTTCAAGTTTAAATATATCAATTCTCACATGATAAACTTCCTCTGAACAATTAGGCCACTGCCTTCTATTCCATATTTAAAAAATTATTATTCTGGGAGATTGGGATTGACATATATACACTAATATGTATAAAACAGATAACTAATAAGAACCTGTTGCGTAAAAAAATTTGTTTTATTCTGAAATAATCAACAGCCACCTCTAGTACCACGAACAAAAGTTGCCTCCTCTTGAATTAGAAGTTGCTCTGGTAAAAGAGGTGCAGAATTTTCTCTAGAGAACAGTGGCTGCTTCCCTCAACTTTTCAAAGTTCAGCACAGACTCCCGAGTCAGAAGAGCAGCTTGTTTCTTGCTTTAACTAATGGAACCGTCATCAGAAGGCCTCATGCTCTGCGAGTTGTCCGGCCTTACAGTGTCACTGAGGTCAGGTAAACACTATTTCTCTCGAGCTGTTTCTCTTTCCATTTGGGGTTTTGAGACGATTTCTACTCCCCACACAAAAGCAATCATGCCCTGTGCTCTGACACTATTTCCAATTTCTCCAATGAGCTCAGGTGTCTTTCTCCAGTAACATAAGATTGGGGCGGGGCTGGAGCAGGAACTAAGAGGCCATCAATCCTGCGCTGAATACACTCTTGGTGGAATAGAGTCTGGGATGATAGCAAAAGGCACACAGAAGCCCAGTTTGTGCAGAGAAGCAAAGGCAGCAGGGTGTTTTATCCAAAAGCATTTTGTCACTTCTTTTTTTCCTGTGGGGCAGTCTGATACCTAGTTGAGCTGTCTAGCATCAAAGGGCTAGCCGTGGGGGGAAAACAAAGGGAATTAAAGGGTTTCAAGAAAACCATTATTACTTAAATAAAAATTAAAAACAAAAAAGAAAGGAAAAAAAGAAAAAGAAAACCATTACTTAGTCCACAAAGGCTCACCAACACTGACTATGCACTTAATTGTGGCGGGAGGGAGGCTGAGCTCTGTTACTGCCTGCAACGATGGCTTCAGATTTCCTACACCGTTACAAGACAAGATTGTAAATCGTCTTATATTATTGAAAATCGACTCACCAGCGTGAGCGACAGAGCTATCAAGGAGACAGTCCCTAGTGAGCCAGAAGCAGCAATAGCTCTTTTCATAAACTGTCATGTAGCAATAATAGGCTGAGCTGCTGATTCTCTAAGAAGCAATTACGCAGCTCACATCTAATTTCTGTGTTATAAGAAAAGGGAATAGTGTATGTGGGCAAAGGAGGCAAGAATCCTATCAAATATGACTTTAGACCACATTATTATAAAACTGTTCCCCTTTTCACAGAAGAGCAGACATTTTAACAGCATTATCTCCACAAAAAAATGGGAATTCAGGAAAAAAAAATTATGATATTGGTGGAAAGGAAAAGGGTTCATTTTAGGGATAGTACATGTTTAAGACAGCACAACTCACAAAACACTGCTTCTATTTACTGACCTTTTCACTTTGGATGGTTTCCTTGAAAAAGCCACACTTTGTGAAATCATTCGTTTAAAATCTGCCATTGCGGGGCTTCCCTGGTGGTGCAGTGGTTAAGAATCCGCCTGCCAATGCAGGGGACCCGGGTTTCTAGCCCTGGTCCGGGAAGATCCCACATGTCGCGGAACAACTAAGCCTGTGCGCCGCAACTACTGAGCCTGCACTCTAGAGCCCGCGAGCCACAACTACTGAGCCCGTGTGCCACAACGACTGAAGCCCGTGCTCTGCAACAAGAGAAGCCACCGCAATGAGAAGCCCGCGCACCGCAACGACGAGTAGCCCCCGCTCGCCGCAACTAGAGGAAGCCCGTGCGCAGCAACGAAGACCCAACGCAGCCAATAAACAAATAAATAAATAAATTTACTAAACACAAACAAAAAAACTGCCATTGCCACTCAGGGTGGGGTGCTTCACGATCAGAGTGGGGCGGTGGTCTGAGGGTTTCCCGACAGTTGTTCGTGTAAAAGGGCCAAGAGCTGCACCGATTCACGAGGGCTGCACCCTCATGACCTAATCACCCTCAACCCAGCAAGGCTTACCTGGGCATCAAGGCCCAGGAAGGAACACAAGATTACCTTGGCCAGCCACCATCTGAGTTGGCTTCCTTCCCCGTGATGGGCCCACTGCAGGGCTGCATCTGTATTATGCTCAGCATCTCCAGAGAACAGCTTCTAATCAGGACATCTTTCTACCTGTAGAACCCAAGCCCACCGCCCTCCCCACTGCCACATCCTGCCCCACCACCTCTATGAGACAGAACATGAGGGTCTCATAAAATGACCTTTGAACACGACACGCCTTTTCTGAGCTAACCATCCCAATTCATTCCTGAAATCCTTCCTCCCATAGTCACCAACTACCTGCAGTGACCCCATTTGGCATGGATTCTTTGCCCATCCTGGTGCTTCCTCTTCAGGTGGGTCACTCAGTTGCTGCCCGTTTGAGAGGAATCCTCCCCATCCCAACACCCACTTTTGAACACAGTAGTGGATTCTGAATGACAAAGCAGGATGATGGCCTCCGTCATTCCACACACACCCCCTCAGCTCTGCCTCTGGCTGGCTGTGGGACATAGGGCAGGTTACTTAACCTCTGTTTGCTTTATTTTCCTTGTATGTAAAACATGGGAAAAGCAACAGTTTCTACCCAACGGGGAGGTGAGGACTAAAGAAGTCAACAAGCACAAAGTGCCCGTATGCCTGGCAGACAAGAAGCCCTCCTTGGCTTAAAGTTATCATCGTGTTCTTCATGATGTAACTCTAGACTCAAGACTAACGGAATTTGTGAGGGATGAAGGAACCAGAGAAGCCACCAGTTTGAAGCCTGAGCACTCTGGCAACCAGGGACCACCTATGAGGACAAATCCAACAGCCAGAGCTGGAGCCAGCAAATCCAGAATGGAGATGTTTGGGTGGCAGCAAAGATGAACCAAGAAGAGTGAGGTCCCGAGAAGTTCAGATATTCTGACTGAACCCTCATTATCCAGCTGTGCTTAAAAAATATACTAGACAATCCAGCAACTCCTCTTAAGCGTATATGCCCAAAAGAACTGGAAGCAGTTTTACACACATGTTCAGAGCAGCATTATTTATGATAGCCAAGAAGTGGAAGCAACCCAAGTGGCCACTGACAGATGAATGGATAGCAAAAAAGTGGCATAAACATACAATGGACTGTTGTTCAGCCTTAAGAAGGAAAGAAGTTCTGACATATGCAATAACATGGGTGAACCTTGAGGACATTATACTAAGTAAGTGCTACGGACTGAATGTTTGCGTGCCCCCAAATTGGTATGTTGAAGCCTAATTTCCAATGGGATGATATATTAGCATCTGAGGCCTTTGGGAGTGATTAGGTTGATGTCATTAGGAGATGGGGCTCTGGGGTGATTAGGTCATGTGGGTGCACCCCTCAGGAATGGGATTAGTGCTCTTATACAAAGACAACCTAGAGAGATCCCTCCCCACTTCCACCATATGAGGATACAGTGAGAAGACTCCCATCTATGAAATAAGAAGCAGGCCCTCACCAGACATCGAATCTGCTGATGCTCTGCTCTTAAGACTTCCTAGCCTCCAAAACTATGAGTAATAAATTTGTTGTTTATAAGCCACCCAGTACTATGGTATTCCTTATAGCAGCCTGAAAGGACTGAGACAGAGTGGGACAGAATAAGCCAGTCAAAAAAGGGACAAACTTTATGGCTTACTGGTATGAGATAGCCAGCAACAGAGAAGGAGAAATGGGGAGTTAGTGTTTAACGGGCACAGAGTTTCGATTTTGCAATTTGAAAAGACCTATGGAGAAGGAGGGTGGTTGCACAACAATGTGAAGCTGCTTAACACTAGTGAACTATTCACCTAAAAATGGTAAAGATGGTCAATTTTATGTTATGATGTATTTTACCACAATTCAAAAAATTTTTAAAATATACTAGGCATAGCTCAGGAAAACCATGGTGCAAATGGGCTATAGCAGAAACGGACAAGGAAAATACTGCCCGTGATATCCCATGCCTTATGAAGTTGCTCAAAAGTCTTGCTTCTGTGCAAACCCTGTTGAACCCTGTACTCCAAAACCCCTCTGCGCTGAGTGTAGAGCACAGGCTTGGGGGCAAGGAGCTGGGGCCCCTTGGCAACAGGATCTCGTCAGATGGCTTAACCTCTTCAACCTTCGGTTTCCTCATCTGCAGAGCTGTTGTGACAACCCACGTGAAGCTCTCGGCACTGGCCTGGCATACAGTTAAGGGGCAAGACCCGTCAGGCACCGTTATCATTGCGTTGGATCTTACCTGCACATCATACAGGAATTGGAAACGACTCTTTTTACTTGCAGCTTCTCTCACAGCCTGAGCCAGGTCCACCGACCCTTTCCCACCAATCGACCAGTGATAGCAGGGCACTGCATTAAAGGCACCAGCTCGCTTTGCAAGCTCACACACCAAGTCAATCTCCGCTCGGGTGTCGGTCCTGCTGATGAAAATGTTTGTGGTTTTGCATCTGTATTCATTTAGCGATGTTTTTAAAGAAAGACTAACTGCTTATGCAGAACTTTGCTCCCAAACATTGAATATATTTTAAACATCAAAAGTGGTTACACTGAGCTTAAATAAATCAGACCTTAAGAAAAGCATGGGGGAAAAAATCCTCTCCAACATGACTCAAATATTTCAAGTTGTTAAGGGTTTTATTGAGAAAATTCCATAACATATCCCTTTGATCATCCACAGTCTTTCCGTCAGAAATGCTGGGTGGAATTAAGAAGAAGAAGAAAAAAAAAAAAGCCAAAGAAATGGTAACTCACTATATAGATTTCACTTCCCTGATAACATGTGAAAACACTTCTGCTAAAGTAAAACCAATTCAAAGAAAATCAAACAAATAGAATAAGCAGAGTATTTCTCTGTACTTTTAGATGAAGCAGAGAAGAGGTCAAACATCCTCAAAACACAAATGCACTTAGTTCACAGGGTGGCCCAGCGATATGACCACATTTAAAGTAGGACACTTGACTTACCTGAAGACATTCAGAGCCACGACAACAGGGACCCCGAAGAGCTGAGCAATCTGAATTTGCTTCTCTAGGTTACAGCAGCCAGCTGCCACCAGCTGGAGGTTCTGTAAGGAAACCAGGCCCCCATGTATCACCTCACATCCAACCTGCCAAACCACACAGACAGGCCCACTCTGGCAGGTTTTGGGTCTATCTATACTCATGTTATTGTCCTGGAAGCTATTAAAGAAAGCCATCAATCACTTTTTCCCTCCAAGAAAAGATGGCTGCAGAAGGGGGAGGCTCATTTTCCAAGTAAAGCCTAAAATTATTCTAGATCCAATGGCATATGTGGGTCTTGAGCCAGGCAGCTATTTCTGCTGCAGACTGGTGGCCAGGACATCAGCAACATGCCCACGCTCTGTGGGCTGGTGGACAAGAAGGCGCAAGGTCCTGGGAGGGTGACCAGCACCGTCCAGCTATTCCCTGCTCAAATCCCTGGCGCCACCTGTAGGAGCTAAGAGGTACTGTTGCCAGTCAATCAAAGTCTACTTACTCATGCAAGTCATAAAGCCAATTGTATATCTTCCAAAAGTCAGCTTCTGCCACATCAGAGGTCTGCTCTGATGGCTGCCCAGGGGGTAGGAACTGGACAGAAAGCCTACACCCATCTTTTCTTAAGATTGGAGAGTTAACTGAGTGGATTTTATCCCTTCCCCCACCCATTTCCTCTTGGATTATTAGAAAAGCACTTTTCTAAGAGGCCACTGGTGGAGGACCTATTCCCTGACTGAGATTTAACTGCTAGTCAATGGTTAACTGGATGTGAATAATTCTTCACTCTTACCTCTTCTGTATATTCTTTTTTAAGAGGGACCCCAGCAGTTACCTGAGATAAGAAAAGACAAAAATTAAGAATAATCCTATCAAACTGTTTACTCTGATTAAGATCTGAAAGAAAAACAAATCACGGTCCCTTTTGGGAAGGTTCATTTAAAAAACACATTTTGTGCTTTTAAACCAATAACTGGCAGCCCTGGCTGAACATAAAGTCTTGTGGGTGCTTTTAAAAGTCACTGATGCTTGAGCTCCACCCTGACCAATTAAACCAGGATTGCTGGGAGTGGGACCCAGGATCAGGGATGGTTAAAAACTTCTCAGGCGATTCTAATTTGAGCTAATATTAAGAACTTTCATACTGTTGCCCATTATCCTAGCATAAAAGGGAACTCACAGTATGATTAATACTTGATTTATACAGAGTGCATAATCGTTCTAAATAAATTCTAAGTCATTTAAAAATAATTGCCATTAATTTTCCCCTTTTTTTGGCCTAGTTTCTTACAGAAGCCGATGGGGTTGGCAGTTTAAAGATAAGGAAACTGAAGGTGAGAGAAGGCAGGTATCTTGCCCACAGTTACACAGCAAATGAGAGGCAGAACAGGGGCATGAGTATAATAGGGTTCTGAAACCCCAATTTGGTGCGTTTTCACAGTTCCCCATTGTTTTTGTTTTTGTTTTGTCTATAGCCTGCAACTGGTTTCAGTGAGAAACCCTAGACAACATTTTAACTCACTGAGGACGTGGTGACTTGTTCTCTCAGCGAAAGAGGTCTTGAGAATATTAGAAATCCTTTGAAAAGTTACCTCTACGACAGATTGTTTTTTGAGATTGTGAGGAAACATCATAAGGTATTTTCAGATGGGTCTTTTTTTCAGCATTAGCATAAACTAAAACACACAGTGGACCCTTCAACTGGAACAACCAAAACGCTGGATTAAAAAAGGAACATAAAGTACTGCTGAGCTTGAACATATGCAAAGTTTTGCAAAATCAAAAATTAGGCAAAATCAAGAAAAATGGGTTGTATGTAAATGCCAGAAAGTAGAGGGGATCAAAATAACCAAAGCTGGTTCTTTAAGACTAACAAAATTGATAATATTCTGGCAAGAGTTTTTTTTTTAAAGGAATGAAAAAAATATTGTAACTACACATGCTGTAGACAGAATTAATAGGATACTGGGACAAACTTTATACCAATACTTTTTTAAAAGATAGAGAAACTTAGTATGAGTTTTAATATAAAACTCATTTAGGAAAAAATAGAGAACTTAAACAGTTCTCTACTCATTAAAAAAAATTAAGTTTGCAGTTAAAACCCTACCCCTCACCAATAAGCAACAGGCCCAGGGACTGTTACAGGTGACTTCTTCCCATCTTTGAATAAATAGATTATCCTAATGTTACAAAATCCCTTAATGAGAATATAAAAAAGAATCAACAAGCAAAATTCAGTTATTCATAAAAAAGATAATGCAAGGTTCATTTAATATTTGTAATATAATTTGCAACAGTAAAGAGAAAAATCATATCATCTCAACAGACGAAGATTATTCAACATATAGTATAACAACTTGACAAACAGCAACAGAAGGCAATTTTCTTAACCTGATAAAAACCATATACTGAAATACTACAGAAAACATATTTAGCGATGAACTATTAAAAATGTTCTCTTGCTGATAAGGAATAACAGTAGGATGCTGGCTATCAACACTATTTAATACTGCATTGCAACTAGAAACATATGGTTAGTGATGAAAAAAAAAAGTATCAAGATTGGAAAGGAAGAAACAGAACTGTCATTATTTTCATATATGATTGTCCACATAGAACTCTCCAAAGTATTTACAGCTAAATTAGTACAACGAATAAGAGAATTATTTAAGTTATGGAGATTTAACACAGAGCATGGTGACTATAGGTAAAAATATTGTATTGCATATTTGAAAGTTGCTAAGAGAGTAGATCTGAAAAGTTCTCATTCCAAGGAAAAACATTTTTTTTTAAACTATGTATGGTGACAGATGTTAATGACTTACTGTGGTGATCATTTTACAGTGTATACAAATACTGAACATTATGTTGTATACCTTGAAACTAATATAATGTTGTGTGTCAATTATACCTTAAAAAATTGAGACAGGTCACTGGATATATATATATATAAGAATCCAGAAGTAACCTGTGAAACTATTTAAAAATATAAAGCACATGGGAACAGATCGGTAAAAGGATGTAGAAGTCCTTTGGGCAATAAACTGTAAATGTTTATTAAAATATATTTCAAAAGGCCTAAATCAGTGAATATCCCAGGTTCCTAGATATAAAACTGATCTATTGATTTAATGACATTCCAAAAAAAACCCCCAAATCCTAGAAAGATTCTTTATGGGACTTTATGATTAGTTCAAAAATACGTATGGAAGTGAAAAGGACTGATAAAGGCCGGGCACCCATGAAGAAAGAGAACTACCAGGGAGAGCTTGCACTACAGACTTAGTGTAGCACACACACAATTATGTGTAAATAGACCAGTGCAACCAAACGAAGGTCCCAGAAACACACCTACACATGTATGGAGAATTGATTTATCACAAAGTAGGCTTGAAGATCAGAAAGGAGGGACTAATTAAAATAAATAGTGCCAGGCCAGTTGGTTATTAACACAGAAAAAAATAAAATTAGGCCTGGTCATTACACCACACACCAAAAATCAGTAATGGGGGTGATGGTTAATTTTGTGTGTCAGCTTGGGTGATGGGATGCCCAGATATTTGGTCAAACATTATTCTGGGTATTTCGGTGAGGGTGTTTTTGAATGAGAATAACATTTAAATTGATGGACACTGAGTAAAGCAGACTGCCCCCCGCCCCATCACTTCAATCAGTTGAAGGCCTGCTATAACAAAAAGCATCTGTGCAAGAGAAAATTTTCCAGCAGATTGCCTTCAGACTGGGACTGGAATACTGGCTCTCCTGAGTCTCCAGCAGTGGCCCACTCAGTAGATTTTTGGACTTGTCAGCCTCCATAATTGTGTGAGCCAATAACTTATAACAAATCTTTTTATGTAAATACACATCCTATTGGTTATGGAGAACCCTCCTTAAGAAACTATGTTTAAAGAGCTAATTATAAAAAACATGTCTGAATCCAAATGTATTAGTTCTTCCATTGCACCAAGAATGGTCAGCATTTTGGAAGACAGGATATGACTGGGGCTAAAATGGGCAAGTTCAAGGGTCATGGGATTTTCCACTGCATAAATTATGTAAAAAAAACAAGCTGAATAAACATAAGAGGCAGCCGAGGTTATTTGTGTAATGATATCAAAAGGAAGTAGAAGTTATAATGGATCAAAAACATTACTGTGGAGTTGTTTCAAGTAAGAAGGAATGACACTGAGGTGGATAATATGGAATACAGGATTAAGAAGATCAAAGTTCATGGATTACTCAATTATTGAAAACACTTCCTTGACACAGAGTATGCCGGGCATGAGGAATACACAAATTAATAAGATATAGTCCTTAACCTCAAGGAATTCAGAGTCGAGTGGGGAGATGCACATATAGACAAGCATAAAATAATATGATGCAGAAGGACTACTGGGGTCCAGGAGAGGAACGCTGAGCTTCATCCGGCTTCCTGATCCCCCCTTTTATTATCCTCCACCCATATCTGTGCCTACTAATCTCGAGCCCTGTTGCAATCATCACTAGCATGGAAACATGACATTAAGGGGAACTGAAAGAGGTACCGAGGATTAAGGTGAGCAGAAAATGCAGCCATTGTAAAACAGAGCACACACATTAAGATGAACTGAAATAGGATTATAAATCATGTAGTGAGTTTTTACAGGACAGAGACGAGACTGGAGTGTGCAAAAACACTGGACTAGAAGTCCAGAGGCCTTGATTTCATGTCTGATTAGTCCCCTAAATAGATGGAGGATACTAAGCAAGATCCAGAATCCTCCAGCACCTCAGTAATTTTATCTTTGTAAAGACTTGAACCAGACTAATTTCTAAGCCCTTTCCAGTATGAAAGCCCTTTGCTTTTATAATTTTCAGGGTGCAAAACAGGGAGGGGGAATTTCAAACTTCTCTTATATAGGTAGAGATCGTTTTTTGAAAATGGAAGTTGATACAGCTTCAGAGTCTGAACTCAAGGAGTGATTGGTAGCAACAACTGGTGTTTTGAACAAAATCAGAACTCTTTAGCACTACTATATTATAAAACCTGCTGCGTCAATCTTGCCTTTGATATAATGGTGAAGCTCTAGGCTAAAATGAAGTGCTCAAGCGTCTGGTATTAATGAGTGGATTAGGGATTCAGAAAAGGTTTACCCTTCATTCATATTCAGCTCTGAATGCCTGACAAAAGTGGAGAATCTGTTCTCTCAGACCCAGGCTTGAGATCTGGCTCTCTGCTAGACTGGTGACATCCCCTAAACACATCAAACCTCAGCTTCCTCATCTGTAAAATGATATGTCTGCCTCTCCTAGGACAAAGAATTGCTAAGATGATTAAACAGTGCACATTGCGGTGTTTCATCATGGCAAACTTGTTATTTGTTTATGCTATATAATTAATCATTGTGTGATATCTGCATACACAGTATACCAATTAAGAAATCAGATTTGGCAGTTTGTGTAATATATCAATAGTATAAGTAATAAAGAAACTCCAAATGATTTTATTTCAAAAATGGTTAATCAATGCAACATTTCTTATTCTCCCTTTGGAAATCCCTAAAAAAGAAAAAGAAAAAGAAAAAGAAAAAAAAAACCCACAAAAAACGACATCTTTGCTGTGGAAAGGTGAAAACTCCTTTCAGGTGTGTGTGAATTCTATACATGATAAAGTCTTTAAAAATGTTAAAACAGAATTTGTGTTCTCTAAGCAAAGCTCTCTTAGAAATAATCCAGTGCTCTAACAGAGTTATAAAGTGAAATCATAATAAACAGAAACAGAAGGAAAAAAGCGCTAGATGAAATCTGATGAGATGTAGCGTCAGTGAACCAAAAAACTATCCGTACGAACACTGAACAACCTCACCCACAAATGCAATCACTCTAACCCTTCTGTTCTTCATTCAGGAACCAAAGCCTCTACCCTCCCATTACCACAGGGTTATAAAATGTTGACATAAGTTTCAGTTTAGACTCTTAGAACTAAAGAGCGGTCACATGCTCCTTCCCAAAATATTGCTTAGAAATAACTTTGTGGGTGTTACTAATTACTTGATCGAACTGCACTCTAAGTGCCCTATAATGGTGATTTGTGAAAAAGGAGATATTCTAGAAAACTGCAGTTATGAAGCAGGTTTGGAGGTTTCAAAGGTTCAATTCTGCTTCCTTCTGTTTTATTAGAAAGGAAGCACAGTGCTTACACTTGGTCCACCTCCGTGCATCTTCAGAGCCCGCACTGTCGCCACCAGCACCACAACACTGGGCACCAAGCCAGAAGCTCTGCACTTGATGTTGAAGAATTTCTCCATGCCAATATCAGCACCAAAGCCAGCTTCAGTCACTGTGGAGAATCAAGTTTGAAACTTGCTATTATCTTCGAAAAACAATAGTAGGTTTTGACAATCATTGATGTGGTTCAAATTCAAAGGATGACAAATTTTCCTCCACGTTCAAGGTTACTATACACCACTGCATCCTGTTCATATACAAACGTAAAAAGACGTTTCCATGGTTTTAGGAAATGTCCTACTTCCTTACATTCCATAAAAGGATGACTCTCTCTACTCTGCTTCACACCACTTTTCCTTAAGGATTCATTGCCATGGCCAAGATTTTTCTTCCAGTAGAAGGTCAAGGCAAAGGTTTTCTTAACACAGATGGTATTTTCAACTTTTTAATCAGGTTCCAAATTGCGTCAAAGAACATTGCTAGTATGATTAGCATAGAAGATCTTTCCTTACTCTTTGTAAGATACATACAGAATAACTTATTTTCATTCCATCTGGCCATTTCTATTGATGGACAAAATTGAAGTTAGTTGAGCCGTTTAAGGAGGCTGATCATCAGGCTTGATAATAAGATGGTATCTTTACTTCATAACCACAGAGGACACTCATGTTTAACCATCCTTTCCCCTGCCCCCAAATTGTTAAAAATGTTACTGAGGCAGTTACGGCTATAGCAGGGAGACTATCCAACACTGCCTTCCAAGATAATATTCCTGACACTGGGTAAGCAGCAGCATCTTCATACACAAAGCAGAGCTCTGGACCAGCCACATCACCAGCCCCTGGGGGTTTATTAGAAATGCAGACTCTTGGGCTCTATCCCAGAACTATTGAATCAGAACCAGCATTTTGACAAGATCCCTTAGTGAGATGAATGTCCATTAAAATTTGAGAAGCACACTGCTCTAGGGAAGGAATACTATTAACGGAATAGAAATTAAATATTTATGGAATACGCACTACATACTTACAGTACAACCAAGGCCATAATTTATGGCAGAAAGAGGAAGAAGCAGTAAAAAAAATTTACTAAGATAAAATAGAAAGCATTTAACATGTGAATAAATGAGGATATTTGTCCCCAGCATTCACTGAATATACACATTTTAATAAAAATTAAGAAAAGAAAAACAGAGAGGGCAGACAGACAGCAGAAGCAAGAAGAACTACAATCCTGCAGCCTGTGGAACAAAAACTACATTCATAGAAAGATAGACAAGATGAAAAGGCAGAGGGCTATGTACCAGATGAAGGAACAAGATAGAACCCCAGAAAAACAACGAAATGCAGTGGAGATAGGCAACCTTCCAGAAAAAGAATTCAGAATAATGATAGTGAAGATGATCCAGGACCTCGGAAAAACAATGGAGGCAGAGATCGAGAAGATGCAAGAAATGTTTAACAAAGACCTAGAAGAATTAAAGAACAAACAAACAGAGATGAACAGTACAATAGCTGAAATGAAAAATACAAGAAGGAATCAAGAGCAGAATAACTGAGGCAAAAGAACGGATAAGTGACCTGGGAGACAGAATGGTGGAATTCACTGCTACGGAACAGGATAAAGAAAAAAGAATGAAAAGAAATGAAGACAGCCTAAGAGACCTCTGGGACAACATTAATCGCAACAACATTCGCATTACAGGGGTCCCAGAAGGAGAAGAGAGAGACAAAGGACCCGAGAAAATATCTGAAGAGATTATAGTCGAAAACTTCCCTAACATGGGAAAGGAAACAGCCACCCAAGTCCAGGAAGTGCAGAGAGTCCCATACGGGATCAACCCAAGGAGAAACACGCCGAGACACACAGTAATCAAACTGGCAAAAATTAAAGACAAAGAAAAATTACTGAAAGCAGCAGGGGAAAAATGACAAATAACATACAAGGGAACTCCCATAAGGTTAACAGCTGATTCCTCAGCAGAAACCCTACAAGCCAGAAGGGAGTGGCATGATATACTTAAGGTGATGAAAGGGAAAAACCTATAACCAAGATTACTCTACCCAGCAAGGATCTCAGTCAGATTCCATGGAGAAATCCAAAGCTTTACAGACAAGCAAAAGCTAAGAGAATTCAGCACCACCAAACCAGCTCTACAACAAAAGCTAAAGGAACTTCTCTAAGTGGGAAACACAAAAGAAGAAAAGGACCCACAAAAACAAGCCCAAAACAATTAAGAAAATGGTCACAGGAACATGCAGCTCAATAATTACCTTAACGTGAATGGATTAAATGCTCCAACCAAAAGACACAGACTTGCTGAATGGATACAAAAACAAGACGCATATATACACTGTCTACAAGAGACCCACTTCAGACCTAGGGACACATACAGACTGAAAGTGAGGGGATGGAAAAAGATATTCCATGCAGATGGAAATCAAAAGAAAGCTGGAGTAGCAATACTCATATCAGATAAAACAGACTTTAAAAGAAAGAATGTTACAAGAGACAAGGAAGGACACTACATAATGATCAAGGGATCAATCCAAGAAGAAGGTATAACAATTGTAAATATATATGCACCCAACATAGGAGCACCTCAATACATAAGGCAACTGCTAACAGCTATAAAAGAGGAAATTGACAGTAACACAGTAATAATGGGGGACGTTAACACCTCATTTACAACAACGGACAGATCATCCAAAATGAAAATTAATAAGGAAACACAAGCTTTAAAAGTCACAATAAACCAGAAACATTTAACTGATATGTATAGGACACTCCATCCAGAAACAGCAGATTACACTTTCTTCTCAAGTGCGCACGGAACATTCTCCAGGACAGATCACATCTTGGGTCACAAATCAAGCCCCAGTAAATTTAAGAAAATTGAAATCATATCAAGCATCTTTTCTGACCACAACGCTATGAGATTAGAAATGAATTACAGGGAAAAAAACGTTAAAAACACAAACACGTGGAGGCTGAACAATACGTTACTAAATAACCAAGTGATCCCTGAAGAAATCAAAGAGGAAATCAAAAAATACCTAGACAAATGAAAATGAAAACACAACGATCCAAAACCTATGGGAGGCAGCAAAAGCAGTTCTAAGTGGAAGTTTATAGCTATACAAGCCTACCTCAAGAAACAAGAAAAATGTCAAGTAAACAATCTAACCTCACACCTAAAGGAACTAGAGAAAGAAGAACAAACAAAACCCAAAGCTAGCAGAAGGAAAGAAAACATAAAGATCAGAGCAGAAATAAATGAAATAGAAACAAAGAAAACAACAGAAAAAGATCAATAAAACTCAAAGCTGGTTCTCTGAGAAGACAAACAAAATTGATAAACCATCAGTCAGACTTATCAAGAAAAAGAGGGAGAGGACCAAATCAATAAAATTAGAAATGAAAAAGGAGAAGTTACAACAGACACCACAGAAATACAAAGCATCCTAAGAGATTACTACAAGCAACTCTATGCCAATAAAATGGACAACCTGGAAGGAATGGACAATTCTTAGAACGGCATAACCTCTCAAGACTGAACCAGGAAGAAAGAGAAAATATGAAAAGACAAATCACAAGCAACGAAATTGAAACTGTGATTAAACATCTTCCAACAAACAAAAATCCACGACCAGATGGCTTCACAGGTGAATTCTATCAAACGTTTAGAGAAGAACTAACACCCATCCTTCGCAAACTCTTCCAAAAAATTGCAGAGGAAGGAACACACCCCAACTCATTCTAAGAGGCCACCATCACCCTGACACCAAAACCAGACAAAGATACTACAAAAAAAGAAAATTACAGACCAATATCACTGATGAATATTGATGCAAAAATCCTCAACAAAATACTAGCAAACAGAATCCAACAACACTTTAAAAGGATCATACACCATGATCAAGTGGGATTTATCCCAGGGATGCAAGGATTCTTCAATATATGCAAATCAATCAATGTGATACACCATATTAACAAACTGAAAAATAAAAACCGTATGATCATCTCAATAGATTCAGAAAAAGCTTTTGACAAAATTCAATACCCATTTATGATAAAAACTCTCCAGAAAGTGGGTATAGACGGAACCTACCTCGACATAATAAAGGCCATATACGACAAACCCACAGCAAACATCATGCTAAATGGTGAAAAACTGAAAGCATTTCCTCTAAGATCAGGAACAAGACAAGGATGTCCACTCTCACCACTATTATTCAACATAGTTTTGGAAGTCCTAGCCACAGCAATCGAGAAGAGAAAGAAAAATAAGGAAACCAAATTAAAAAAGAAGTAAAACTCTCACTGTCTGCAGATGACATGATACTACACATAGAGAATCCTAAAAATGCCATCAGAAAACTACTAGAGATAATCAACGAATTTGGTAAAGCTGCAGGATACAAAATTAATGCACAGAAATCTCTTGCATTCCTATATACTAATGATGAAAAATCTGAAAGAGAAATTAAGGAAACGCTCCCATTTACCACTGCAACAAAAAGAATAAAATACCTAGGAATAAACCTACCTAGGGAGACAAAAGACCTGTATGCAGAAAACTATAAGACACTGATGAAAGAAAGTAAAGATGATACCAACAGATGGAGAGATACACCATGTTCTTGGATTGGAAGAATCAATACTGTGAAAATGAGGGCTTCCCTGGTGGCGCAGTGGTTGGGAGTCCGCCTGCCGATACAGGGGACACGGGTTCGTGCCCCGGTCCAGGAAGATTCCACATGCTGTGGAGTGGCTAGGCCCGTGAGCCATGGCCGCTGGGCCTGCGCGTCCGGAGCCTGTGCTCCGCAACTGGGGAGGCCACAACAGCGAGAGGCTCACGTACCACAAAAAAATAATAATAATAAAAGTACTGTGAAAATGACTATACTACTCAAAGCAAACTACAGATTTAATGCAATCCCTATCAAATTACCAATGGCATTTTTTACAGAACTAGAACAAAAAGTCTTAAAACTTGTACAGTGACACAAGAGACCCTGAATAGGCAAAGCAGTCTTGATGGGAAAAAACGGAGCTGGAGGAATCAGACTCACTGACTTCAGACTATACTACAAAGCTACCGTAATCAAG